ACAATTCGCCATGTTTGTACGTGTCTCGCTATATTTGGACCTTGCTAACACGTTCAGTGGCGATTTGGCATCCAGAGCGCCTCGTCGCTCAACAGCCTGCTCGACAAGCAAGGAGTGAAGCCAGAGGAGATTCTCGATGATGCTGATCTGCTCCAGGAGTGTAAGGCCCAGAGCCAGAAACTAATGGACTATCTGCAGAATCCAGAGGTCCTGTCTCACCTGCTGGGCTATGTTGTTGGTAAAACAGAGGTATCTCTGCCGGATACTGCTGCCAATGAAGAAAAGATTGGGTTCAAGTGCGTTGGTGCTAACAAGATATCCCTACATTGCCTCTGAAGTGCTCAGCAGCAATATGAGCGGTGTTTCTGACATGATCCTCCAGCGCAAGGAGGAGTTTCTATACCCTTACTGGGATGCAATCCTTGAGGCACCGGTAGGCGACCCTGAGCCCGCCGCAACTCTCAAGCCACAGACAGTTGGCATGGCTAATAAGAAGCCCCAGCCCACAGAGGACGAGACTGGACGTCCTACTGTAGCCATGTCGGCGTTGAAGAAAGGCCCTGGACATGCAATTCTTGCTAGTTACTGGGTCAAGGTGAACGCCATGCTGCTTGAACAGCATCCAAAAGAGCTCCTTGAGGCTATCAAGGGCATGCCTAACTTTGTGGAGCGTATTGTCGCTCACTTTGAGTCGCCCACCCTTGTCGACTTTGTCTTCCGTCTTATCCAGACTGATGAAACGCACCCCGAGGCCAACATGGTTGAATGGCTCTCGGAGAATGACCTTATCCCGCATGTTGTCGGCCTCCTTTCACCATATGTTTCCCAGGATTTCAATTACGCTGCCTCTGAATTCCTCAAGTCAGTTATCTCTCTTTCTGCCCCCTCTCCAACTTCGCTGAGCCAGTTTGCTGCTGATGGCATTGGCGGTGGTGCATATGGCATGCCCAGCATTGGCATCAGCAACCTACTTGTTCGTGAACTTGCCAGTGAGGAAAATGTACGCAAGATGGTTGCATTCATGCTGGACTACAAGGAGGCGCCTTCTCGTGAGGAAAACAGTCGTTCATTTACTCGCCAGCGTGCAGACTTTGGGCTGAAGCCGCTTTCTGAGATGGACTCTTCCGAGGAGTCTGCCGTCGAGGATGATGAGGACGACGCGCTCACTTTGCAGATGAACCTTCGCAAGCGCAGCATGTCCGTCGCACGCACAGTCGCCGAACATCGCGACTCGATGGCAACAGTGCGTCCAGACTTTGGTCTTCGACGCACTTCGATGGCTCGCCCCGTGCTGAGCCAGCAGGCCCAAAACTCTGCGTTCATCAGTTGTGCTGGAGTGTTCATTGAACTGATCCGCAAGAACAACAGCGACTACTTTGAGCAGCATCTTTTCCACACGCTTCGCAACTATCTGCAGATGCGTCAGCATGAGCTTTCTGACTCGGCCAAGGGCATCAACATGCAAGACAGGTATATGACCCTGGAGGACCTGCACTTTGACGACTCTGTCGATATCGGCGTCATGGAGCAAGCCTTGGCTGAGGTGTCCGAAAAGATGGGCATTGTTCATCTTGGATCTTTGCTTCAGATCCTCGCAGAGCGCATCCCTGATATGCAGGCCATGATGAGCTCGCTGCCTGCTGGCACTCCGCTGGTCTCTACTACAGTCGGCGTGATTGAGCCCCTGACCCAGATTCGTTACTGCATCTCTGAGCTCTATGCAGAGCTGCTTCACTGCTCGAACATGGCGCTCATGAATCGTGAGCCCGGTACTGGGCCACAGTACTCGCCGATGGGTACTCTGCAGGGCGGTATCAAGGGCATCGAGGCACTGGCAAGTGCACTTCAAGGCGAAGATGCTGTCATTGCTGAGCCAGACGAGTACTGCGGTCAGACACAAGAATGGCAGGGAACACACTCGTCTGAGCACATTCCAGAAATTCACACAGAATGTGATGAAGCAGAAGAGCATGTGGCTGCAGAGGAAGAGGCGCAAGAGCCGGCGCGCGATCGTCAAAACTCGCTTGGCGTCCATTCTTCCAGCTCCCTTAATGAGGGCGAGGAGGATGATGATGCAAAGAGCATTGCTTCCGCGCTTTCTAGCCTCTCGCTTGCTGATCTAATCCAGCAATTTGCAAGTGGGCCTTCTTCGCTTTCGTCCGAAAATGAGGAGCCCCGCGTGCTGGGAGACTATCTCAAGCGGCAGCTCCTCCAGCACCGTGTCATCCCGCTGCTGCTTGAGCTGTTTCTCAAGTATCCCTGGAACAACTTTTTGCATAATGTCGTGTATGACATTGTGCAGCAATTGTTCAATGGAGATATGCAAAAGGGCGCCAACCGGGAGCTCACTGTATCTGTCTTTGAACAAGCCCACCTCATTGAAACGATTATCGAAGGTGCTCGCCGTAACAAAGAGTCGTCGAAGCAGCCACGTCGTGTGCGTCTCGGCTACATGGGCCACCTCAACCTGATCGCCGAAGAGACCGTCAAACTCCTTGAGCGTTATCCTCGTTTGATCGAAATGCGTGTTCGCTCAATGATCCCTCAGCCCGAGTGGGATGAGTACCTTGCAAATGAGCTTAATGTGTCCCGTGCCAAGGAGGCAGTCCAGCTGGCTGGCGGTCGTCCTAGTCTCACTGCATCTGACATGCTTGACAGCGATACGGAGGATTATGGGGATGGCGATGATAACAACTCGCTTGCGCATTACCTCTCTGCACAGATGCGTAATGGTATGGCAGATGATGACGATGACGAGGATGACCATGTATTGGCATTGCGTCGCGCTGCGCAGCAAGATCCTGCGTCTCTTGACGATGACGACTGGGGACCATTCGCAGACCAAGACAACTCTGGCTCCTTTGAGTTTTCTGCTAGCAACTCGGCCACAGAGCCCGAGCTTGCTATCTCTGCGCGCTCAGAGAACCTGACGCCTGCCGACTGGGCCGCTGATTTCCGCCGCACATCCATGTCTAGCATTCCTGCAAGTGCGATCCAGGATGATGATTCTGATTCAGAAGAGGCGCCACCACGGCCGCATCGTCATCGCCGTCGCAGCAGCGCTAGCAGCTCTAGCTCATCAGATGGCGGCGGTTCTGGAGATGATTCGCCTTATGTCGACCTCCACCATCCCGCACTGCTGCGGCACAAGGCTCATGATCTGAGCGCACGACGCCCTGGCGTGCCTGACGAGAGCCAGTCCGACTCTCAGCACTGGCCCATTGCCGCCGCTGCAAAGAAGCGGCGTGCCTCTTCTTCACATGGCGACCGAGCTGCCTTCCTAGCAAAGAGCGCACTCCCATACAAGGTAGAGGAGACCGAGGATGGTCTTCTCCGGCGCACACTCGAAGATGGTACTACTGTGGTTGTACCTCTAGATGATGCTGAGCTATTTGAAAGCGAGACTTCCTCGCAGGACGAGGGTAATAGTGACAACTAGTTAGCTCAATTGCCCTGCCATACGTGCGGTTGTCTTGGCATCATGTCCGACGTATTGCTGCGCACAGCGATATGCATATTTTCATGCAATGGATTGTTCCAAAAATTACTAATCCCCGTATATTTCCGACAATATGCAATTACCCCGCGGTTATGCAAGAAATCTGACCGATATACTGCGCTTCGTGTCGAGTATTCGAAAGTACGCACGAAACACCACTGTGCAAATATGACCAACGCTTTCATTGTCGGTTCGAAGCGTACGGCCTTCGGCGCCTTCGGCGGTAAGCTTAGCGGCTTCACCGCCGCGCAGCTTGGTGGACATGCTGCCAAGGCTGCTCTTGCGCAGCTGCCTGCCAACACCCCTGTGTCGTCCACGATCTTTGGTATTGTGACCAGCTCGGACGTCACTGCCCCATACCTCGCTCGCCACGTCGGCCACCACGCTGGTGTCCCCATCACTACCCCTGCCCTCACTATCAACCGTCTTTGCGGTAGTGGTTTCCAGGGTGTGGCTAGCGCCGTCCAGGAGATCAAGGTCGGCGATGCCGAGATCGTTCTCACTGGTGGTACTGAGAGCATGAGCCAGTCGCCCTACACTCTCAGCGGTGTTCGTTTCGGCAACACCCGCTACGGTGTTGATCTCAAGCTTGTTGACACTCTTGCCGCGTCGCTTGTCGACCAGGTCCCCGTCCCCACCCCCATGGGTATCACTGCTGAGAACCTCGCTGAGAAGTACGGCATCACCCGTGACCAGTGCGATGCCTTTGCTCTCCAGTCGCAGCAGCGCTGGGTTGCGGCCCAGGAGGCTGGTGCCTTCAAGGACGAGATCGCCCCTATCGAGGTCAAGAGCAAGAAGACCACTGAGGTGTTCAGCGTCGACGAGCACCCCCGTCCCAAGACCACCCTTGAGACCCTCGCAAAGCTCCCCTCGGTGTTCAAGAAGGGCGGTACTGTGACTGCCGGTAACGCTTCGGGTATTTGCGACGGTGCCGCTGCCAACGTCGTTGCCAGCGAGGAGGCTGTTAACAAGTACGGCCTCAAGCCCCTCGCCCGCATTGTCTCGTACGGTGTCACCGCCTGCGAGCCTTCGCTCATGGGTATTGGCCCTGTTGAGTCTGCTCGTCTTGCTCTCAAGCGTGCTGGTCTCACGATCGCTGACATGGACCTGATCGAGGTTAACGAGGCTTTCGCCGCCCAGTTCCTCAGTGTTCAGAAGGAGCTTGAGCTTCCTAACGACAAGACCAACGTGTTTGGTGGTGCTATCGCTCTCGGCCACCCTCTCGCCGCCAGCGGTGCCCGTATCCTTTCGAACCTCACTTATAACCTGCACCGCCTCGGCAAGAAGTATGCCCTTGGCTCGGCTTGCATTGGTGGTGGCCAGGGTATTGCTGTCATTCTTGAGCGTGTCTAATGATATAGTATCATTTGTATGTACCTCACATGATGCCAACAAACAAATTTGCGCAATAATATTAAAAAGGGTCCGAGTGCTAAGACTTTGCAAGTAATAGAGTTGGGGAAGGTACTTAATGACATATCAAACCCCCACATTCAACAAGGGCCTCTTAACTCAGTTGGTTAGAGTATCACGTTAACAGGATTACAAAGCCTGAAAACGGTTGATCCGTGAAAGTCCCCGGTTCGAGTCCGGGAGAGGTCATTCTTTTGGTGTTTGTTTTTGTGAACTCATATTTTGTGTCCATATCTGGCGGACTTACCTTTCAAAGATGCCAGCCAGTCTTTGTAATCATATTTTGTGCGAATGCAGCACCACTCATGTTGAATAGCATACATATTCCTGGAATATGCAAATTTTGACATTTTAGCACAAATACAGCACAAATACAGATACACGGGTATAGATTGCTCTGGTGAACACTACTGAATGAATGTAGCTATGCAATCAGCAACAAGCTTGTCAGCAGGCTGAACCTGGTTGTTTGCAAACCATTCGCGAAGTTCTCTGACGACCAACTCCTCTGCGACTTTCGGCACAAGTACCCCTGGTGGCCGTTCCAGCGAGAGAAGCCACTCCACATAGCCAGGTTTTGTCATTCGCCGGATCTCGCTGGTGAGTGGAATTGAGCCCGATCGTGAAACCACGTGCTCCATCACAATAAATTTGGGAATGTCTGTGATGTGCGCCGCTTTGAGTGAGTCCAGTGGCGCGAACATCATGGAGCGCAACTTTCGAAGGGCCTGGTATGCTGGGCCACAATCAGCCAACGTCATCTGGAACTCGTTGAGTCTGCTGCCCTGAGTAAGAATCTGTGTGATACAGAGCTCCAACTTGGTCATATCAGTAGTTAGTTGTAGACGGTCTGCCTCTTCGCTAATGCGGAGCAGCGAAGCATGCAACACAAAAACGTGGAGTGCATGTGTAGATACTTGGAGGGCCCATGCGGAGCGCCATTCCTTTAGCTGCATATTGCCAAGGACCTGATCACGGAAAAAGGCAAGGCGTGCGTCCAGTTCAAGAATGTATACGCTGGCCTCTGCTTCGCCCTGGGATGCATCCACACTTGCAGATGCACGATCAACCCTGAATCGGTGAATCCGAGCAATTAGGATCATGATTTCGCGGCGAACGGCAGCTGCAAAAGGATCAAGAAGTGCCTTTCGAAGTGGGCCATAGATAGTCTTTTTGATCGACAGAGCCAGTGGTCTTGCCGCAGGGATAGAACCCACAGAAGACAAGCGCGTAACAATTGCATCCATCGAGTTGATCACACAAATGTTGTGCTCAAGACTGCACGAATTTGTTTGCTGAAGGAGGTATGCAGCGCCGTCCGTGCGAATGATTGTGGATATGTTTGAAACAATGCGTTGGATGCATGCGGTAACAGACGAAACGACCTTTTGCACCAGATCGTGGTCCAGTATAGCTGCCTCGATCTCTCCTGCTGCGATCTCCGCAAATCGTTGTGCCTCAGATACGCCAACGGCATGCTTGTCTGGAGTTGTCATTGCCGAGAAGAAATGGTCGAGCGAGTCGCTCAGACGGCTCGAAAAGTCGAGAAGGTACGCCTTTTCAAAGCGAGAGCGCATTGCAGCAATCGAGTCTGCGTGTATTCCGGTATCTGAGCCACCAGCAGAAACAGCGAGTCGTTCGTCAAGCTCATGGAAGATGCGCGAAAGCCGCGGGAAAGACGATATCAGCACTTCATGAATGAATGCCGATTCAGACATGCACTGCCGGCTGTGCTGCTCAAAGTTGAGCGAGAAAGTATGCCAGAGATGGGCAGTCGGCCTGGTTCCCAGTGACTTGCTGGTGATATCAAGGTAGGAGGTATCCGTATCGCGATCGTGAAGCAACGCAAGGACACGCTCTAGCAAATGAGCTTTGCCAAATATGGCCGTTGTCTCATCCACAATTAGCGTGTGGAGGCGCTCCCAGATTGCTGTTGACCATTTTTGGGCAGAAGCTTGCGCTGCGCCTTGTCCTGCAATGCGTGACTTGTAATCAGCTGAGAGAGAGATGGACGAGACATTGGGAGGGTGCGTCTCCTGCACTTGAGCGCCAATTGCCTTGAGATCTAGCGCCAAGCGGATACGGTCTGCAATCACATCACTGAGGTCTCCAAGCAGATTTCGAACAAGAGACTCGAGCTTGCAAAGGTTATGTGCTGCTTGAATCGAGTGCTGGAGGATAATAGGGGAGAGTGTACGGAGCCCAGCAAGCAGCAAGTCCTCCACACGTTCATACAGCAGCCGAGCTGCTTCTGGCATGAGGCTGCTTGTCGCACTGCAGAACTCGATTTGCATTACTGCAGCTTTGCGGCCAGTACGTTCCAATTCATCGATCAAGCTGCACATCTCACGCAGCGTGTTAGTCGCAGCGACCAGGTTTGTGCCATGCTCCTGGTATGCGGCAATCGCTGCAGTAGTTGTAGAAAGATCGAATTCCAGCACATCATTCATCTGCCCTTCAAAGCGTGCATTGAGGGAAACAAGACGCTGCACATCGACAGAGAGCCGGTATTCAGTCTGTAGACCCTCTAGCCGCGTCTGTAGCTCACGCAAGCGACAAAGTGCACCATTTGTCTCTTGTCGCGCGGCAGAGCTCTTGTGAACAAGCGAGTCAACGCGTTTCTGGATGTTCGTCACATCAGCGCGCATAGAGTCCATGTGGCTGATGCTCGCGAGGAATTGCGATGCATTCTCTGTGATCAACGTGTGGATATGCTGATCAATCTGGTTGACAGCCAGACTCAACCGGCTTACGGTGATGTTGAGATCAGCGTCAGACACAGCGTTGATGCCACTAGTATCGGACAAGTCACCAGCCTTGTTTGGCGTATCAGGCAATACGGAAGCGCCGAGGAACTTGCTGGCATATGCTTGCGGATTGAAATTTTCATCCAGAAAGATAACATATTCTGGTTAGCCAGCACGCACCTGTGGCGTCGTTCTCCAACGCAGACGCTAGCAGTTGGGCGTCCCCATGTGCTGCCGGTTCCATGGACGCGTCGTCGTCAAATTATGTAAGACTACATAATCTCGTGGAACTCACCGAAGATGAACTCGCCGAAGTGAACTCGCCGAAGGTAAATGCGCCGAGCAGTGCATGGTGTGGCGGCGACAGAAAACAAAGAAAGGTCTCAAATATGTGATCTTGCTAAAGCATAGTGATACTAGTTAGAAGGGGATCCCTCAGATGTCTGTTGTGCCGCTGTACCAGCTTCGCGAAGGAGACGACGCGCTTCGAGCTCCTTTTGAACAATCTCTTCGCGCCACTTGGCGATTTCCGCCTCGTTTGCAAATATTCCCCTGTCACCAAGGTCCTTCATGGCTCGACGGCGGATGAGATTATCACTGCAGCGCTGCTCAAGTTCAAAGCGTTGCAAGGCATTTTCGGAACCGAGGCAGAGGCCAAGTGTGGTGACTGGTTAGCTAGCACTCACAAGCCACAGCAATCAGGCTCTTGATCGCAAAAGTCTGGCGCCTGGTCGTCAGTGATTGTCCAGGCATACATACTTGAAGGTGGGAAACAGATGGTGTGAGGCGAACACCGTGGTAAAACCAATCACAGACCACACGAGAGCCCCACGGATGGCACCGTCCTGATTAGAAATAACTAACACGCTGAACCTCATATGCGCCATCGATAAAGTGGGAGTTCCAGCGACGGCGTTGGGGAGTCTCGTTTGACGCGTTGCCACTCATTGTGGAGTAGTTAAGTGAGTTGCGTGGAGGCCTGCGTCCCTAACAAAAAAAATCCAACTCCACAGGATGGGCAAAAAGGACAAGACTGAGGGAGTAACGATCAGCCCTGAAGTGGTCGCGTTTGTGCACGCATTTGTGCACGTACACGGCTCCTCAAAGCTTGCTGAAAAGCTTGCATCACGGTTCCCCAAGCTTGGGCTGGAGGACAACATTGCAAATGCAGAGAGCCTGTCTAATGCTCTCGTCGAGACTGTCAAGACTGCTATTGCAGTCCCTGGCTCGGCTGCTTCGGCGGCGCTGGGCACAAAGAAGTCCAAGAAGGATAAAAAGCGGAAGGTGGGTCTACACTAACCAGCGTGACGCAGAGGCCACAGAGGAAGCAGAAGAGCCTGTTGCGGAAGAGGCGGTGGCAGAAGAGCCTGTCGCCGAAGAGCCTGTCGCCGAGGAGCCGGTGGAAGCAGTCACAGAAGAGCCTGTCACGGAAACTCCAGCTGCTGAACAAGTCGGCGAGGATGCCGACGTGTCTGTTGCCGATGTCTCGCTCAGCGACGAGTCTCGGGGCAAGAACAAGAAGCGAAAAGACTCTGGCATCGGCAATCGCTTCCAGCGTGTAAAGTCTGACCAGGCTGTCTTTCTTGATGACAGGCTGCGGGATATGAGCTACGCGGCCAAGTCCGGTGCTGGCGACTGGGGTGCCAAGGCAAATGAGGACCTGATCAAGACTCGTGGAAAGAGCTTCACAAAGGAGAAGAACAAAAAGAAGCGTGGCAGCTACAAGGGAGGACTTATTGACCAAGGCTCACAGTGCGTACTTGCTGACAGCTCTATCAAATTTACTTACGATGATGAGTAGCTAGGTGGTGATCAGGGGAATATACGCCTTACTGGCGAGGTCTAGCTTGCAGAGGTCAGGAAGAGGCTGACGCCCGTCGAATCCACCGTAAACAAACAAGCGACTGTCGTAGAACCAGGCCTGGTGGGAACCCCTGCCCTGTGGCTTTTCACCCGCAACTGGGTGTGTCTCCCACCGCAGTGCAACTAGATCAAAGAACAACAACTGATCCATGTAGCTGTGATTCCCATGTCCTCCAAACACCAAGAGAGCGGTGCCGATGTGGGTGGACGAGTGTCCAAGTAGCGCATAGCGCTCTGACAATGGAATCGCATGCCAGGTGTGTGTTTCAATATCGAGAATGTGGACATCGTTAAACGCTTGCTTGCCGTTTCCACCCCCAATCACGACCAGCCGATCAACTGCCAGATTTGTAGTGTGGTATCCGCGGCCGGGCGGGACATGGCCATGGCACTCCACGGCAGACCATTCGACATTGTGGGGATCACGGACGTCAAGGGTGTGGAGATCACTCAATGGGCCGACTGACGTGCCGCCACCGAAGATGTACAGATGCCCATTAAAGTAGGTACATGTGTGCGATCGACGGGGAAAAGGGGGTATTCCGCGCACATTAGGCTGGAACCAGTGCCTTTTGCGTGTATCAAACACGAAAAGGTCGTTTAGGTATGTAGAGCCTTCTCCACCGCCAAATATGTATATATAGCCATCGACAAATGTCGCGGTATGAGCACGTCTGGGAGTTGGTGGTGTGCCCGTGCAAGACACAAGGGTCCACTCAGACGTGTCTGTCAGCTAGTACACACCGCAATTGTAGTGCCACATGGAATTGGTGCACTTGTTCCAGCCAGAGCCACCAAAGGACCAGACACTAGAGTCGATTCCAGAGCACGAGGTGTGGGATCTCAGACGGCCCGGAGCATCGCCTCGCTGCTCGACTTGGGACCAGTACATTGTGAGTGAAGAGGAGGGTATATCGTCTGTGTCCCCAGCCTTGATTTTGTCAATGGACATTGCGTCCATTTCGCGCAGTAGCGTATCGATGCTGCCGCTGGCATCCATCGTGGTCGCCTCCACTACAGGGTCCATAAAATTAAAACTAATATAGTTACTCAGATTGCCGCTGTCCATGTGTCAAAGCCTCATCCCACATGCCAATTTCGAGACGCGTTGATCTGTAAGCAAACACGCACGTATCCCAGATTTCCTGAAGACGATCCATACTATACTTGGATGGTACGTCCCGTTCAGCACACGATTCAATAAGTTCTGTTAGCACCGGCGCACCGATAATCAGCTTGACAGACTCGAGAAAGTCGCGTCCGCTATACTCGTCGATCCACTTGCGGTACGGAGAGGCTTTATAGTCAGTTGATGCGAGCCAGAGGCCGACCTCTGCGTAGCCAAGCGCGCACGAGGCAACCGCCACGAGCAGTGGCAGAAGGCCTTCCGCGGCATTATCGAGCATGCTCCGCGTGTAAACTCGTGTTGCACGGCTTTCCGTAGTGGCCTCAAGCTCCTCACGCGAGACGCCCCACTCGGCACACAGTGCAATGTGCATTTCTGTCTCCTTGACCGCTAGCTGCGACACTTGGGCGTAGCGGCCGATATCTTGCAACTGGCAGGACGGGTCAGACGCAGCCTTGGCCCAGATGCGCGCATAGTGGCGGAGGTATATGTAGTCCTGGCGGAGGTACCACACAAATGCATGTGGAGAAAGTGTCCCGCGACCCATACGAGCGGTGAATGGATGCCGCGTGTATGTGCACCACTTGTCCCACGAACGGGAGATCAGCAGTGTAGACAGGGGCGCAGGCACGCGCGGCGACCGGGCCGGAACAGCCCGCTGAACAGCATGTGCGCCGTGATCGAGGGGGCCCGAGCCTGAGCCCAGGTTTTCGATAGAGCTCGCGAGCGTCTCTTGGAGGTACTGGATGCCACCAGCGACCGCCTCACCAAGTGGGAGGCCACGTGCTGCATAGGCACAAATCGCTGCCGAGAGCGTGCACCCAGTGCCATGAGTCGCACTGGTTCTTACCATCGGTTTTACAAAGAGGACAGTGGATTGTGCATCAGCAAAAACATCAACAGTGTACCTGTCGCTGTCGAATACAGAGTCGGCGTACTTGGAGAGCACGCGAATGTCGCCTGGCCCGTGGACGACAACTGCTGACAGTGGTCCGTGCGTGTAGTGTGAGCCACCCAACATCTTGCTGATCTTTTCGAGCGCACACGGAGACTTGCACAGGTGCTCGCTAGTAGCGTCAGACTCGCGACTGACACACGAGTGAGGCTCGTCCGTGGCTACCGCGTCGCCAGAGGACACGCCCAGCTTGACGTGGAGGCCCAGCTCCTCCAGCTGTTTCTCGAGGTCGTCGCGCGGCAGCATGTTATGGCCGCCCTTGAGCAGGATGGCAGGCGGTCCGAGGCCCAGTATGGTCTGTGCAAGGCGCAGAATACAGGAGAGTGAAGTGGGCTTCTCTGCATGCGAGCCAGCGTGGCGCGAAATCTGGACAGCCTCTGCAAGGTTTGGCGTGACTAGCGAGCATATGGGCAGCAGTTCACGCACCACAGTCTCGATAGCGTCGTGCTCGAGCAGGAGCGACCCGGAGGTCGACACCATCACTGGGTCGAGTATCACGGTGCCCTGTGCGCCGGACGCACGCCATTTCTGAATGACATCTGCGGTAGCTCTGGCGACCTGGGCGTTCGCCAGCATTCCAATCTTGATACCGTCTATGCGGATGTCAGACGAGATGCTCTCAAATTGCTCCGTCACGAACGAGGCTGGCGGCGTATGAATAGCCGCAACACCTCGCGTATTCTGAGCCGTGAGAGCGGTGATAACTGACATGCCATAGGCTCCCAGCGCCAGAAATGTCTTGAGATCGGCCTGGATGCCCGCGCCGCCGCCGGAATCCGACCCAGCAATAGTCAGCGCATGGGGCAGCATAATATTAAGGTGTTCGGAAGCTATAATTTACCAAACCCGACACTGCTCAATTAATTCGAGTGTTGCGTCGAGTCGTTCGCGTTCACCGCCATAGTCGTCGTCCAACGACAGTCGGGGCAGCGCGAGCCCAACAACTGTTGGCTTGCGCGTGGCACCGCTAATTCGTGCGGCAATTTTTGTTGCATATAGCGCGTAAATATCTGCCATGTCTGGCGGCGGCACGCCAAACAGAGGATGTTGTGTGACGTGTGGGATGTCTAGAGGGTCGCTCGCAATGGATGGCAGCTCTCCAGCTTGCTCGACACGTGTTTCGACCTGTCAGTGAGAACGCACCAGGTATCCAATCTTGCCAAGCTGAGAGACGAACACCAGCGTCCTATCAGCAAAAGCATAGCATGCAACGTCTAGTGCGTGTCCATTGACGCTGCGAGACGCTGTGCGATGGCCGACAGCCGAATCGAGCTCCTCCACGTGTGGTGGTACGATCATGCTGGTTGTGACTGAAGGGTCTAGGCCCGCCAGAAACCAGTTAAAGACCGGTAGAATGGCCGAGTGGTCTAAGGCGCTTGATTCAAGTATTTGGATATTTCGACGGTTGCACGTCGAGCACCCAAGTTTTCCTGGGTTCGAACCCCAGTTCTACCAAGCATCAATTTTTTTTTTGAACTTCTCACGTAATACACAGCCACTACATACATGAGTGACCAGCGACAGATTGTCATTGTTGGTGGTGGTATTATTGGCGCCAGTGTGGCATACTATCTCACTCAGCGCGAGTCATGCCCCGCGGTGACTCTAGTTGAGGCTACGGGACAGCTGGCCCCTGGTGCCTCCGGCAAGGCTGGTGGATTCCTTGCGCTTGACTGGCACGGAATGTCGACCTCCAGCCTTGCTTCGCTGAGCTATCGCCTGCACAAGGAGCTCGCTGATGCTAATGACGGTGCTAATCGCTGGGGCTACCGTCAGGTCGAGACTCACCAGCTGAGTCTCGATGCATCGCGCAAGCCACGTCGTGCTCCTGCGATTGACTGGCTCAATCATAACGTGTTCCTTACCTCGAGCGTCATCGGAGGCAATGGATCTACGGCGCAGGTCTCCCCAGGCCATCTGACTAACTGGCTTGTCGGCGAGGCCGAGAAGGGCGGCCTCAAGGTTCGCCTCAGCACCAAGGCGACAGGTGTGCAGCGGAACGATCAGGGTCACGTGACTGGTGTTGCTGTCTCGAGCGGCGGGAAGGACGAGGTTATTCCCGCTACTGACGTGGTTATCGCCACCGGTCCATGGACGGGCAAGCTCCTGGAGACCCTGTTTTCCCCCGGTGAGGTCCCGTCGTATCTGCGCAATGCGGCTGCTATCGAGGGCAGTCGTGCCCACAGTATTATAATCCAAGCTGCTCAGGACCACCAGCTGAGTGCTGACTGCTTTTTCACCGAGATGCGCTACGGCACTTCCGCTGGCGCTCCGGAGGTCTACATTCGTCCGAAGGGTGTGGCATATGTTTGTGGTGCCACTGATGATGAGCCCGTTCCCGAGTATGCAGACCAAGTGTCTTACGACCCCAAGGCTACTGCCAAGCTCCAGGTTCAGGCCTCGGTGCTGAGCCCTGACTACCTTGACGTGAAAAATGGAGCAACTCTCCTGTCGGAGCAGTCATGTTATCTCCCCCTTTCTCCCCGCACTGCTGCTCCTATCATCGGTGGCTCTGCCACCGATGGAATCTACATTGCCGCCGGACATGCCGTCTGGGGCATTAACAACAGTCTCGGTACTGGCAAGGTGCTTGTCGAGCTTATGCTCGATGGTAAGGCAGTCTCAGCTGATATCCGTCAGTTGCAGCCCTAGGCTATATAGATATGCAACATGAATGAATCATGCGTATGAGAGGCGGCGTGCGAACTCGACGAGAGCGCGCACGGGACGACCGGTGAGACCCTTGCTCTGGTAGTCATTAATGGTGTTCACTGCAGCCTCCATCGAGCCGGCAATGTCAATGTGCGCGTAGCGAACAGTCGGGGCGGCGCCCGCGGCACGGTCCTCGAGGCCGTGGACGAACTGCTTGAGGAAGATGGCAGCAGTGCACGAGCCACCCGGGCGGCCACCGGTGTTAACCAGATCGGCGTTGGTCTTGCTGATCTGCGCAAGGTAGCTGTCAGTCAGCGGCATGCGCCAGTGCAGGTCGTGCTCAGCCTCGCCAGCACGCTTGAGCTCCTTCCAGAGGGCGTCGTTTTCGGTAAAGACAGCAGAGTAAACGTCACCAAGCGCAATGACGGCGGCGCCAGTGAGCGTAGCAACATCAAGCAGGGTGTGGGGCTTGAAGGTGTCGCTCGCGTACGAGATGGCATCAGCAAGGATCAGACGGCCCTCAGCGTCAGTGTTGTCCACCTGCACGGTAAGGCCGTTGCGCGCGACGAAGATGTCACCAGGCTTGGTTGCATGTCCGCTCGGCATGTTTTCGGTGAGAGGGGTGACGGCGACCACGTTGATCGGGAGGCCGAGCTCGGCAATGGCACGCACAGTCGAGACGGCGACAGCAGCACCGCCCATGTCGGCACGCATCAAGTCCATACCAGCGCCAGGCTTGATGCTGATGCCACCGGTGTCAAAGGTGATGCCCTTGCCGACAATAGCAAGCGGCTGCGCGTCGGCGTCAGGCGCACCACGGTAGTGAACCTCGACGAAACGAAGCGGCTCGTCCGAGCCGTGGGCCACCGAAAGGAACAGGTTCATGTTCTCCGAGCGGGCCCAGTCCTCGTCGCGCACGATGACCTGGGTGTTCGGGATATTCTTGAACGTCGCCGACACGCGCTCCGCGAACGCGGTGGGGGTAATAATATTGGAAGGGAGCTCCTGGAGCTCACGGGCCCAGTTCTGCGCACGGGCGTAGACCTCACCAGTCCACCACGAGAGGGGGGTGCCAGTGTTCTTGAGCTCGTCGTCGGCGTCCACGAGCTTCTTCTTCTCGGCATCAGTCTCGGCACCGTCGATCGGAACGGCAGTGACGTGGCGGCCGCCCTGAAGCTCGGTCTCCTTGCCGTGGGCAGCGAGAGCGCCACGCGTTTTGAGGTGGTTCACGCTCCAAAGGCCAAGGTTCGCACCAGTAGCCGCGGCGTGGGGGCTTGAGAAGCTGTCGACGCCAACAGAGAAAGGCTCGACAACGCCACCGCGAAGGTCGCGGATGGCGCGCACGCCCTTGCCAGCAGCAAGTCGGCTGCGCTCGAGACGCTCGTCACGGAGGAAGTCGGACTCGGAAGGGAGGGCGTCGGGCGCGGTGGTCGGTGCGCCATTCTGCTTGCCGATAGCGAGGGCAGCGACCGGCCCACTCTCTGGGAAGAGGAGACGGAACTCGTTTGCCTTGTCGGCTGAGGCACCACTAGCCTTCCACTGGCTGGACACCTGCTGTGCAGTCTGTGCATCGCTCTGGAGGGCCTCGGGAGTGCCCTGGGCACCAATGGCAACAACCTTTCCAAACACAGGGGCCATTGTAGAGATTCGGAATGGAGCACGAGATATGCGCGCAGGGTACATGGTGCGCGGCTGGGAATTACGCACGCACCTTTGTCGTGCAATTACGCGATTAGTGGGCGATATGATAGTTATACAAGGGGTATGTAAATATTTAGGGCAGAGTGCGTGATAAAGAGCACGCGCGCGCCTTTATGCAAGCGACGCATCGCCACTGGGCTGTGTCGACTCGTTCGTGCGGTGGATATCCTGTAGGTGCTTTACTGCAGTCGCGAAGAAAGGACGCAGCTCGGCAATCTCGAGTGACGAGATGTTTGTCATTTCGATATGCGTATCGTTGAGCGCGGCCAGACCGGCAAGCACCTTGCTTTGCCGGATCTCGCGCAGATCCTTAAGAAGTGCGCGAACTTTTGGGGCCGATGGGATATCGTCTGCGGCATGCTCCAGGAGCATCTTCGAGACTGCCATGTAGTGGAGTGGTACAGGTGCGAATGCGGCAGATCCGCTCTCCTGATGCACGTAGTTTGTGAGTTGCTCCACAGAGAGCCAGTCTGGCGGAATAATGACACATTTTTGGCGCCTGCGCAGATGAATAGCGAGCCAGAGTGGGACCTCTGCATGTGAAGGGGGCCGGAACGGGCCGTAGGTGCCGGACAGGAGACGCACTCGGTCGATCGACACTAGTGGGAGAATACTTACACTAGTCTCTGTGCCTGCGAGTAGCTCCATTTCTGTGGGCAGGATGCCCGGCTCTGCAGCTGCAGGCAGTGCCATGGTGTGGAGTCTGGATATATGTGGAGTGACACACGGTTTCACAGGGGTTTGCATATGTCAAAATGGATTAGAAGGGGAAATGAAAGGGCAAATCTCCCACCATGAAGGGCGCCGCGACACTCCTTGGGCTATGCTCGATTTTTTCCCTCGCTGCAGCTGCTGCCACACTTTCAGGCAACAATATCAAGCAGTTCGAGGTGAAGGATCTGCCAAAGGTCGACTTTGATGTCGGCACATCGTGGGCTGGCACGCTTCCTGTGTCGAACAAGACCGACGAAGACAAAGAGCTCTTCTTTTGGCTGTTTCCTCCCTCAGGCGATGTGGGACACGACGACATAGTCATCTGGCTGAATGGCGGCCCTGGGTGTTCGTCGCTCACGGGCCTGTTCCAGGAGAACGGCCCGTTCAAGTTTGCGTCAGACGGCGTCAACACGACTCTTGTGGCGAACGAGTACTCGTGGACGAACCTGTCGTATGTCCTTTGGATTGAGTCCCCTGTTGGCGTCGGCTTCACCAAAGGCAAGCCTACTATCCAGGGCATGCATGGACAGGCCCGCCAGCTCTACGGATTCATGGAGCAGTTCTTCGAGACTTTCACCGAGCTCAAGGGCAAGCGACTGTGGCTCACTGGCGAGAGTTATGCGGGCAAGTACATCCCGTACATTGCGCACGAGATGTACAAGCACCACAACACGGAAGAGTCCGGCATCAACCTGCAAGGTATCGCGATTAACGACCCGTCGTTCTCCAGCGAGTTTCTCGGACAGGAGGCGCCCGCGTTCGAGTTCCTCGAGCGGTACCACGAGATCATGAACGTGAGCGAGAGCACCGTGGACGAAGTCCGCAAGGTGGCCAAGAAGCATGGTGTCGAGTCGTTTGTCGCGGATAACCTCAAATACCCCCCTAATGGTCTAATTCAAGTCCCCAAAAGTGCGGATCCCGTGAACCTCCCCGTGTGGTCGGCTGTGAACAGCGCCGGCGAGAAAGGCTCCAAGTGCTTTAGCATCTACAACATCAAGCCCGACTGCTCGCACGAGGACGATCCGCTCGGCATGCCGCTAGACTCGCAGGTCGCCCTCAAGAAAAACTTTCTGAACGAGAACCCCGAGTTCAAGGATGCGATCCACGTCCCTCGCGACAAGGTGTGGGTGGAGTGCACCGTGGACCTTAATGATGTGTTCAAGAACAAGACGCTTGGTGACGTAAGCCCTCCGCCGGACCGTACCGTGCTGCCTGGCGTGATTGAGAAGAGCAAGCGTACGGTAATCCAGCACGGCACGTGGGACTTTGTGCTCATTGCGGAAGGTACGCAGCTCGCTATCCAGAACATGACCTGGGCGGGCATGCAGGGCTTCCAGAACAAGCCAAACCTTACGCTGACTGCTGGCGAGAAGCCTCACGGTGTCTTC